TTTTTTTTATTTTATTTATTTATTTTTATGTGCTGTTGTTTATTTTTTAACATCTTTTTTGGCGTATAATTGCTTTACAAGTGTGTGTTAGTTTCTGCTTTATAACAGAGTGAGTCAGTTATACATATATATATGTTCCCATATCTCTTCCCTCTTTGTCTCCCTCCCTCCCACCCTCCCTATCCCACCCCTCCAGACAGCCACAAAGAACCGAGCCGGTTTCCCTGTGCCATGCGGCTGCTTCCCACTGGCTATCTACCTTACGTTTGTTAGTATATATATGTCCATGTCTCTCTCTCGCCCTAACACACCTCACCCTTCCCCCTCCCCATATCCTCAAGTCTGTTCTCCAGTAGGTCTCTGTCTTTATTCCTGTTTTACCCCTAGGTTCTTCATAACATTTTTTTTTCTTAAATTCCATATATATGTGTTAGCATACGGTATTTGTCCTTCTCTTTCTGACTTACTTCACTCTGTATGACAGACTCTAGATCTATCCACCTCATTACAAATAGCTCAATTTCGTTTCTTTTTATGGCTGAGTAATATTCCATTGTATATATGTGCCACATCTTCTTTATCCATTCATCCGACGACGGGCACTTAGGTTGTTTCCATCTCCGGGCTATTGTAAATAGAGCTGCAATGAACATTTTGGTACATGACTCTTTCTGAATTCTGGTTTCCTCAGGGTATATACCTAGTAGTGGGATTGCTGGGTCATATGGTAGTTCTATTTGTAGTTTTTTAAGGAACCTCCATACTGTTCTCCATAGTGGCTGAACCAATTCACATTCCCACCAGCAGTGCAAGAGTGTTCCCTTTTCTCCACACCCTCTCCAGCATTTATTGTTTCTAGATTTTTTGATGATGGCCATTCTGACTGGTGTGAGATGATATCTCATTGTAGTTTTGATTTGCATTTCTCTAATGATTAATGATGTTGAGCATTCTTTCATGTGTTTGTTGGCAGTCTGTATATCTTCTTTGGAGAAATGTCTATTTAGGTCTTCTGCCCATTTTTGGATTGGGTTGTTTATTTTTTTGTTATTGAGCTGCATGAGCTGCTTATAAATTTTGGAGATTAATCCTTTGTCAGTTGCTTCATTTGCAAATATTTTCTCCCATTCTGAGGGTTGTCTTTTGGTCTTGTTTATGGTTTCCTTTGCTGTGCAAAAGCTTTGAAGTTTCATTAGGTCCCATTTGTTTATTTTTGTTTTTATTTCCATTTCTCTAGGAGGTGGGTCAAAAAGGATCTTGCTGTGATTTATGTCATAGAGTGTTCTGCCTATGTTTTCCTCTAACAGTTTGATAGTTTCTGGCCTTATATTTAGGTCTTTAATCCATTTTGAGCTTATTTTTGTGTATGGTGTTAGGGAGTTATCTAATAAGGTAAATCATCTTAATGGTGGTTATCTTTAATGATGAGATTGAATAATTTTTTTATACCTTTTGTATCACAATTTGTTACATTAGGTAGGAACTGTTAAACAAAGACATAAATGAATCATAGGAGACCTAATCAAACAAAACTGAAGTGACCTATTTTCAAATACAGAAAGAAAACATTCCGTGTGTTTAAGCTCTCTTGATAGGAACCTAGCTTAAACGTGTTTATTTGGAGTTTCCAGGATCCAGTTCCAACCTACCTCCTTACTTTTATCATCCTAGTATTTCAAACAAAATAAATCCCCATATCCCACAGTTCCCTAAGCTTTTCCCACCATTATGCTTTTGCTCTCTTGGGTCTTTCAACCTAGAATTCCCATTCCCCATTGCTGCGTATCCAAACTATATTCATCCTTCAAGACTCAACTCAAATTATCTACCCTCCAAGAAGCAATCCTTAACCCTTGTTAAGATGATCAATGGGGAGACCATGGTTACAGTCACAAAGAAGCACAAACCATGACCTTCCTCCTCTGGCTCATTGCAAACTCCTTGAGCACATGGACAGGATCTTATTCAGTTCTGACTAACCTCAGAGTAACAAACAGAGATGGCACTCAGATGCAAATTTCTTTCTATCTGGCCAAATTAATGCTCTAAACCTTATTAGGGGCATAATACTGCAAGCTGCTTTCCATCCTATCTGTATGCCCAAGAGGGAGGCCTACCTGGAATAATCCCACTTTTACCTGGCTATCTAGGGAGAGGTAGTTAAGAACATAGGCTCTGGAGCAAAAACTACCTGAAGTCAAATCCCAACTTGACCACTTATTAACTTAGAGATCTTGGCAAGCTGCTTAGCCTTTTACAATTCAACTTCCAACTTTTAGGGTGGGTCTGAGAATTAAATAAGATTAGGTATGTAAAGCCCCTAAAAGGTGACTCACAGATAGTAAACAACCAATTCATGGTAGCTATTTGCTGTTATTAGTAACTCTAACCCAAGTCTCAGCTTTCAACTAGGACCTCACTTACAAGGAAATCTTCTCTATCTCATGCCAGTTAAGAGCCCTCCCTCTGTTCTTTCATGGCACACCCTCCCCGCCCCTTACAACCCTTACTAAACTCTATTATCACCACTTGTTTACTTGTTAGTATTTGTTACTCACGGTATATCAGCGCCTAGTATAATACCTGACACATACATAGCACACAATAACTACTTATTTTATGAATAATGAAAATAATTTAAAACAGTAACTTTTGACTCAACCCAAAGTTTGCTAATACCCTCAATATGCTAAAGAACACTTGAAAATATATTTTATTTCCACACAAACTTAGTAACTCCACATTTTGTTTTGTGAACTTCCCCAAAAGGCTACAAAGCTCAAAAAACAATGATAAAAGTAAAATTGAAAACCACTAGAGTAAAATTTTAAAGCAAACAAGGGTAGAAGAGAAAGGGAACAAAACACCTAAAACACACTACACCCTGTGTTAGATGCTCTTCATGTAGCAGCTAGCTCTCTGAGCCAAAGAATAAAGGGAAGAGAGAAGAGGTTCATGACAGAATCCCCAGGCTGATGAAAACTACCACAACCAATAAAACCACGCTCTAATTTCCTGAGAGCCATACCAAAGGTAGAAACATAACAGATTACATCATGCTCTGTGCCCAATTTTTTAAAAACATGTTTGGTTTCTCTCAAAAGACAAACATCTTCCCTACATACGCCTTTAGTAATTAAGTTGAGGTCTTGTGTTTTTTCTTTTAAGCAACTTCCAGAAATTAGAGTATTACACAATGACTACTTAATTTTGAAAGAATGCTTCAAGGTTAAGTAGCAAAAAGGTTTTGATGGTTCCTGACCTTATCTAAAATTTTACCAGTATTATTTAATTCTTCCTTATTTACACATCCATTAATCTGTACTTCTATTTAAGTAAATCTCTTTACTAATTACTAAACAGAACATCACAAAGTTGGGTTTTTTCCTTGAAAACTGAGGTTCAGATACCCACAATGTGTTGACCAAGGCCCAAAACAGAAGAGACTGGAAAGCCAAAAATATCTGCCTGCTGCCTCATAAAAGTTTAATTTAAAACGAGAAGCAAGGACTTCCCTGGTGGCGCAGTGGTTAAGAATCCACCTGCCAAAGCACAGCACATGGGTTCGAGCCCTGGTCCGGGAAGATCCACATGCCACAGAGCAACTAAGCCCATGCGCCACAACCACTGAGCCTGCGCTCTGGAGCCCACGACCCACAACTACTGTGCCCACGGGCCACAACTACTAAAGCCCGCGTGCCTAGAGCCCATGCTCCGCAACAAGAGAAGCCACTGAATGAGAAGCCCACGCACCGCAACGACGAGTAGCCCACGTACCACAACGACAAGTAGCCCCTGCTTGCTGCAACTAGAGGAAAGCCTGCGTGAGCAATAAAGACCCAACGCAGCCAAAATAAATAAATTAAAAACACAGAACAAAAAATGAGAATATCAAGGAATATATAGTGAACATGAAACTACTCTTGTAAACACTAATTTTGCCTTTTAGTTTCACACCACTGAAGAACTCTTAATGCCAAAGCTAAGATTTCCCTCCCTCTACAAAAGAACTAATCCAGGCATATGTTGAAAACTATCATCATCATTTAAACCAATTTTTTTTTTTTTTTGCGGTACGCGGGCCTCTCACTGCTGTGGCCTCTCCCGCTGTGGGGCACAGGCTCCGGA